ATCTATCTATCTATCTATCTATCTATCTATCTATCTATCTATCTATCTTTCTGTCTATTTATTCTCCCTTTATAAGCCTCGCTCTTTCTGTCCTTGCCTTTGTCTCTGTCTCTGTCTCTAACTCTATCTCTGTCTGTCTATCTATCTATTTATCTATCTATCTCTCCCTCCATCTCTCTCTGTCTACGCCTCTTTCACTCCCCCCACCATCTCTCTCTCGTTCTTTCACTTCAAACCCACCTCCCTCCCTCTTTTTTTCTTCACCTCCCTCACTCTGGTCTCTTTCTCTATATATATATGTATTATGTTCATGTTTATATATATATATATATATATTCCTGTCTTGTTCTCTCGCCTTGAACCCCACTCTTTCTTCCTCTCTCTTTCACTTCAACCTGCCCCTCTCTCTTTCCCTTCACCTCCCGTTTCTTTTTACCTTCACACCCTTGTCTCTATTTCCTTGTGTCTCTTTCTTTCCCTTCAACCCTCTCGCTTTCTGTCTGTCTCTCTGTTCACTTCAAACTCTCTCTTGCTTTTTCCCTTCACCACTCTCTCTCTCTCTTCTTTCTCTCTGCCTTCCTGATGCTCTCTCTTTCTCTGTTTCCCCTCACCTCTCTGTCTCTCTCGATCTCTCTATTTCCTTCACCGTCACCCTCCCTCTCCTCCCATCTATTTTTCCCTTCACCCTCTCTCTGTCCATCTCTCCACTCTGTTTCCCTGTCGCTGTCTCTCATTCACTCTTCTCTCTGCCACTCGATCTCTCTTTTCCTTCACCCCTCTCTCCTCTCTCTGTCTCTCTTTCCCACCACTCTCCCGTTTTCTCTCCTTTGCTATCTCCCCTTTTCTCTCCACCCTTCTTTCTGTTCTTCTCTGTTGTTCTCTTTCTCTTTCCCCTCACCTGTCTCTCTTTCTCTCCACCTCTCTCTTTCACTCCACCCTTCCATTTCTCTTCTTCTCTATCTCTCTTTTTCCCTTCACCCCTTCCATCTCTGTTTTTCCCAGTCACTCTCTCTCTCTTTTTCTCCCTTCACTCTTCTATTTCTCTATCTCTTATCCCTCCTTCCCCCGCCTTCTCTCCCTTTCCCTTCAACCCCCTTATCCCCGCGCTCTCTTTTTCGCTACTGTGCACTCTCTCTCTCTTTCCCTCCACCCTCCCCTTTCTCTCCATCTGAATCTTTTTTTTTCTCTCTCTCCCCTGGCCTTTCTGTTTTCCTCTGTCTCTCTATCTCTGTCTTTCCCTTCACCCTTCTCTCTATCCGTCTCTCTCTTTTCCTTCATTCCTTCCCCTCCCCTCACCCCTGCTCTTTTTCCCATCACCTTCCCCCATCCCTCTCTCTCTCTTTGTGTATCTCTCTACTTCCTCTCCTCCCGTCCAACCCCACCCCCTCCCCTCACCTCCATTCCCATATCCTCTGCAGCACCAGGCCGGCGCAGCGGTCGCCAGACCTACAGTCGCTTCCAAACACTGGAGCTGGAGAAAGAGTTCCTCTTTAACCCCTACCTGACCAGAAAGCGGCGGATCGAGGTCTCTCACGCCTTGAACCTGACCGAGCGCCAGGTGAAGATCTGGTTCCAGAACCGGCGGATGAAATGGAAGAAGGAGAACAACAAGGACCGCTTCCCCAACGCCCGGGAGGACGAAGGAAAAACCCAAGAGGCGCCGGTTCGACCCCCGGATCCGGAGGTTGGGGGGCAGAAGGGGGAGGAAGAGGAAGAGGAGGAGGAGAAAGAGGACGAGGAAGAGAAGGAGGCAGGGGATAAGGACAGAGGGCAACAGAAGTAACTCCCTCCGCACATCTGCCCGGAGGAGGGGGAGGTGGAGACGGGTGGGATATGTAGGTAGCCCGCACCCCCACTCTCCGTCAACTGCAGCCCACAATCCGCTAAGGATTCAGAATAAACCTTTCAACTCCCTCACCCCAAAACCCAACCTCCCCAATCAAACATCCAATACCCTCCTCAACCACATCTCGCCTCTGTATTTTTTTGTAACAATTGTACATAATGTAAGTATACTACCTATTATTGATCTTAGAGTAGGATAATAGGTCGGCACGACATCGTGGGCCGAAGGGCCTATACTGTGCTGTACTGTTCTATGTTCTACCTACGAACTGGGGAAGGGCACCATGATGGTGGCGGTGGTGGTAGTGGGGAGGGTGTGTGGGGGGTTGAGGGGTGGGGTGGGGGGTGGGCTTTGTCGGTGGTCACAAACCCCTCGTCTCCCCTCCAATCCGCGCCCCCAGCCCCCAACCCACCTACCACCTCTTACCCCCAGAAAAGTCTACGGTATATGATGTCCGGGTACTGACGTTCATATATCAGGATTAAAGAGTCTAATGATGACCGTGAACCCATTGCCGATTGTCAGGAAGAAAAAACCATCTAGTTCACTCATGTCCTTTGGGGAAGGAAAGTGCCATCCTTACCCAGTCTGGGCTTAGACGTGACTCCAGACCCACAGCAATGTGGTTGTCTCTTAACTACCCTCTGGGCAATTAGGGATGGGCAGCAAATGCTGGCGTGTATGAATAAAGAAAGAAATAAACATATACTTTATATGTATGTATATGCATATATATGCATACATATTACATATATATGTACTTAGTCTGGACTTCAGAAATCTACCAAGTAATTCCAACGGAGTTTCCGGGGG